AGAGAGAGAGAGAGAGAGAGAGAGAGAGAGAGAGAGAGAGAGAGAGAGAGACACACCTGCAGGTTAATGAAGCGGAAAACGCTGTCATCCTCGTCCTCTGAATCTAAATTGTTGAAAGCAACAAGCATCCGCACACTAGCCTGGCCAAGAGGAAGAGATCAGGATCGCCAAACAAGTAAACCCAATGTATGAGCAAAAGTGAAGAGGTCTTGAACCACCAGTATCTCCAACAGGGTAGCTGGAAAAACTTGCTCGTCCTTCCCATGGAGGTCTCCCAAACCGTAGCTGCTCTCAAGATAGACCCTGAACCCCTGGCCGAGTCTGAAAGCACTCTATGGCACTCCTTTTACGCTAATTCTGGTTTTCTTTTTAGCATTCCATAGTGGTTCACTCCTCTTTACAGGGCAAGCAGGCTGCATGTTCATGTCAGGGTCTGGCCACATCGGGTCAATGGCCTGCATACCTTTTGGACAGCCAAGGCCGCATCTTGGCTGCTGGGTCACCTAGGGGCAATTCTGGCCCTAGATTTTTATTTTTCGGACCTCAGGTTAGCCCATTTTTGCATTGCTTTATGCAGCGTTGCATACCTGCCGACCCCCGATCCCAACCGCCGACCAGTAGGCGGTCGGCCGACCAGTCAGAAAACAGCCATTCACTGATTTTTATTCAAATCTGATTTGGGGGCTGTGTTGCGCTTGCTGAGTAGAGCCCCAATCCGCTGAGAAACATTTGGGGATGGGGGTGTGGTACAGGGGGGGTTCGGGGGGGTTATTGGGGGGGTATCGGGGGTTATAGAGGTGGTGTAGGGGGTATTGCGGGGGGTTATGAGGGTGTTCGGGGACGGTTTGGGGGTGTTGGGGGGTGTTGGGGGGGGTGTTGAGGGTGGGTATGGGGGGGTGTTGGCGGAGTTATTGGGGGTTATGGACTCCGAGAAATTTATTTATTTAATTTATTTGTTTGTTTTTGCAGGGTGCCGGCCAGTCAAGGGGCACCGACCGTCGCGGTATGCAACACTGTTTGTGAGTGTGTTCTCTTTCAAAGATACTTTATCCATTCTGCATTCCTTGAACTAGCATACGTTCTGTCTTACCGTCTGCCCCCAAATAGAATGCACAGTCATTACCACTGTACCTAGACTAAACGTTTACCCAAATACAGACATAATGACTGTACGTTCTATTCAGGGAAAAATGGAAGTGCGCCTGCGCATGGAGGTGTGTGTTCAGAGTGTCAGTTTGGTTGATTGCCATGGAAGGCATGGGGAGATTTTGTTTTTTTATCAGAATCAGGACTGAAGCAATGACCAACAGGCCTAACTCAGTTGGTACACCTATGAACTGTTGAAACACAGACCTGAGTTCGAATCCAGATGCATCCTGAAAGGGCTTTCACAATTCAGACCCCGAATTCAGACCCCAAGTTCAAAAGGGGCTCAAACGGCCAGATCCTGGAGTTACGAATCAGCATTTCAAAAGACAGGTTCCTCAGAGTCAGCTGTCGCGTCCAAACTAAAATGAAAAGTCATTTTGCCAAAGTCACATCCAGGTCCTAAACGAACAGTCAAATTTGAGGATGAGTAAGGGTCACATCGGTTCAGCAGATAGTCAAAAGTCACAGGCCCAGTCAAGTCCCAGTCCAGAGGTCGTGCCTGGAGTCAGACCAGAAGTCCAAAAGGCAGGCCCGAAGGCCAAAGCAGCAGCACACCATGGGAAAGGTACTGGGACTCACACTTCGCAACAAACAGGCAGTGGGCATGCGGTACCAGGCAATTCGGCCAGAGGCTGGCCCAGACAGACCAGTCCAACACTACAAAAAGACTGGCCAGCCTCCTGATTGGGCAGATGTGGAAGTGCTTGTGCACTTGTGCGATAGCGTGGGGGAGCTGCGCTATGCCAGAGAGCTGCGCAAGTGAGCTGCGAGAGAGGAAGTGGGCGCTGGCAGGGAAGAAGGCAGCCATAGCTGCACCAGCGCCAGTTAGTAGTAGAGTGAGTATGCTAGTAGAAGTAGATCAGTGAGATGTATTCAGAGTTGATCCTCATGTGTGTGCTGTAGTGGGGAGTGTGCATGTGTGTGAAGAGAAAAGACTAGTGTAGAGTTTAGACCAGGGACACTAAGACAAGTGAGAGACAGGAGGTAGAGGAAGCTATGGTGGAGACTTACCTTGTCTGGCGCTGATATCGATACTGAGTGAAATCGCTGATGTGCGCTGGGTTCCAGACTCTTGCTGTTCGAAGAAGACTTGTAATCTTGTTGAGCGCTGGATAATTGAACTCTTGACTCTCTCACTATAATCTGGTTGTGAAATTTGAGCTTCGCTTCCTGGTCTACCACTCATCATCTATCTGTGCGATATGTGACAATGCAATCTGTGTGACATGCATGCTGATGTGAGCACTCCTTGGTGTGAAGAACTTTGAGGTTCATTGCAATCCAGATGAATAGAATAAGAAAGTTCTGAATTACCTGGGAATGGTCACTTCAGTGATTAAATCACAACGCCCCTTTTTATTAAAACAAGTGGACCCAGCGCGGCGAAGCCGTGCCCCAGTCGTGCCTATACACGGCAGGAAGCGTGGCAATGTCGGTCTCTTTGTGTGTGTAGGATTAGCAAAATTGGAATGAATCTTCAGCCCAAACATGGCAATATACACTGCCACACTTT